CTTCAATTTTCCCCTAGTCCATCCTGCTTCACTTAGGCTATTTAAGTTTCCAATGTCCTAGTTCTCTATATTGATATATAATACTTTTCCTTTGGGGTATCAGAATCAATAGTCTTTCTGGTATGATTCACCGAAGGAGCTTTCCTTTACAGGGAAATTTTTCATCAGTAGTCACAGCCAATATTTGATTTTGGTTTTCAGCAAGTAAGTGGAACCTGTTTCCCTGCCAGCAACTTATTTCTCTTAATTTTTCCCCTTCTTTTGGGTTTTTGAAAAGCACAAAGGCCAAATTTGGTAATTCCTTAGTGGATTCTGGGGACTATCTTCAATCTTTATAGCTGATGATTGATGGCTGGTGCTGACTATCTAATGAATGACATCTTTCTATTGAATCTGGGCTCATAGTGTATCTTTCAGGATATTTGTTAGCTAGACTAGAAATACCTTAGGACTTTCATCCTTTCCCTGAGTGATATCCCTTAATCTAGCACAGTGAGAGTTTGTGTGTAGAACACACAGCCTTGTGTATATCATGTTTTAATTCAATCTTGGCATTTCTGACTCAGCAGCTTCAACTTTGTTCATCATTGGGAATAGTGAAGAAACTACTTTTCATCACCCAGTCTTTGGAGGCTCAGCTGCCTCTAATGGTAACCTCTGCCAGATATTATGAGTCACAACTGTAGTCCTCCAAAGTAATGGCCACCAAACCCAAGCCTCTGCTGGGAGCCCCGGCAGGAAGTCCCAAGCCTTCTTCATGAGTACAGAAAGGCTTCCAGAACGTCTACAGTGTAAGCTGACGGTGTCACTTCCTGTCATTTGTGATTCTCTGCAGGGTCCATTCAGGCACTTCCTTCTCCTCAGCCATCTCTTATGACTGGCTTACACCCAAATGCTATGGTAAAATGTACCATGAGTCCCGAGCCATTACTGATTTTTATTCCCAGATACCCCAGGGGGTATGTGTATGGAGGTGTTCAGTCTCAATAACAGGCTTGCTCTCTGATGGTGTTAAACAGGAATTTGATTGCAAGATACAGAGAAGCCACATTTGTTAGACAGCCAGGAACTGCAGGTGGATATCCCTCTCCAAAAAATAAATGCAACCTTGAATATACTTAATACAGTTAGGAAAATGAGCCACATTGGTAGCAGAGTAAAGAAAGAACAGAAAAACAATCTCAACAGACCAGATCAATTCTAATGAAACTGGAAATGGGACACCATGGTGACCTGAGGAGAGTCAGGAGACATGAGGCATGGTGCAAAATGGCGGCGGAGCTGGTCAGGGCCTAAATAGGGTCATGATCGGGGGCAGGGCCACAGGGAGCTGGAGAGTTCAAAGAGGCTCTCAAGTTTATGATATAGGTTGGGCAGGTCCAGTTACCTATTGTCTGAGTCCCCATCCTCACCCATCCATGCCCATCACCTGGGGGTGGAACTTCACCTTCATCTCCCAAGAAGCCAAGACCCAATTCCCTATTTGTCCACCATATTGCCAAGATGGTGCCTGTTAGATACAGTATCCTTATTTCAATGGCAACTCCCTATTCTGGATACAGAGAGACATGGATGCTTTTCTTCTCCAAGGCTAGTCTCTCACACAGGATGGTCACTGCTTTACAGTTCCCTCAACTGAAAGGAAGGCTTGCAGCTTGTGTGGGCTTCCTGTAGGTAGAATTGGTAGTCTGATTATATATCCCTTGTATTGCAGTCTTCAGTTCCTTCCCCTTCCCTGCCCCGATACTCAAAAGAGCAGAGCGCAGAGGCTCAATGTGGAACTCCTTCTCCCTGCTTTTCTTCTGGTGGGATAGTTTCTTTTTTCTTGTTTTTCTTTTTCTTTTTCTTTTTTTTTTTTAGAGGGGGTATCTGGTTGTGGGGCCTGAACTCTGGGCCTGGGCGCTGTCCCTCAGCTCTTCAGCTCAAGGCTAGCGCTCTACCACTTGAGCCACAGCAACCACTTCCAGGTTTTTTTTTTCTGCTTATGTGGTGCTGAGGAATTGAACCCAAGGTCTCCTGCATGCAAGGCAAGCGCTCTACCACTGAGCCACCTTCCCAGCCCCATTTGGGATAGTTTCTATGAAACTATCTGCCTTCTATTTTGGTGAAACATGTTTAGATTTTTTAAAAAGTTATTTGTAGTTTTTCTTTTTTTTTTATCCCCATATCCCACGTGGAAGAGGCACAATATGTAAGCCAGGTAGAGATCTTTTATTATTGTACAAAATTCTGATTAAGGCCTAAAAGTGGTTTAAGAAGGCAGGAGTTGGAGGTGTGGCTCAAATCATAGAATGCTAATCAATAAGTGAAAGCAAGCATCAGATACTGAATTTGAGTCCTGGTCTCAAACAACAACAACAACAACAACAAGGCAGAATATGTACACATCTGTAATCCAGATGCACAGGTAGAAGGGTTATGGTCCAGGGCTGACCTGGCAAAATAGAAGACTCTATTTGAAAAGATAACTAAAGTAAAAAGGCTAGTGGTGTGGCTTAAGTGGTGGAGTGCTTTCTTAATAAGCATGAGGTCCTGAGTTCATACTCCAGTATTGGGGAAAAAAAGAGGCAGAATAACTTAATCTTCCTCAGCACTTACATATGTCATGCAAACATAAATTCCTGCTTCCAGGAAAGAGGACTCTCAGGAGTGTGTGCTGCCATGAGGCTCCTGTAAGTTGCAATATCAGTATTTGGAAATTAAAATAATCCTTTCCTCTACTGGCTGAAATTCTGTTTTTTAAAGAAAACTTGGCAGAGCTTTATTAAGTAAACAAGCAAGAAAACAGACAAACAGACAAAAAGCAGATAAACAGAAGAGCAGGGGCACACTCTAGCAGAGGGTGGTGCTCTCATAGAGACACAAAGACACAGACACAGACACACACAAGGAGACACCCAGAGAGACACACACAGCAGCTTGGGCTGTTGGTTATTTATGGGGTAACGTCAGGGGTCTGGCTTTAAGTTGTGAAAAGCTAGGTGCTTTGTCTTTGCTTTAACTACACGTGGTGTTTTTCTTTCTGAGTTTTCAGTTCAGAATGCATCCTGCCATAGAACAGATCCTTTTCCTTGAAACAAGGAGATGGAGATGCCCTGCTCTGTTGGCTGACATTCTTTAAGATAATTTAGCTGGACACTGGTGGCTCACATCTGTAACTCTAGCTCTTCAGGAGGCTGAGAGCTCAAGATGAGGTTCAAAGCTTCTAAAAGACCCTTCCCTCCATTTAACCAGCAAAAAGCCAGAAGTGGAGCTGTTGTTCAAGTGGTAAGGCACCAGCCTCGACTGAAAAAACCTAGTGAAAGCTTGAGGCTCTCAATTCAAGCCCCAATATCAACACCCTCCAAACAACAATAATAAACCCCTTTTAACCATTTAAGTGAAATGTCCACTTTAATTTATATTTATCGTAAGACCTGCAGAGTCAAATAGGCAGAGGGAAAAAATAGATTAAGAAAGTCTTTCTATGCTAACTTTATCATTACAGTTTAAGAATTATCTTTTTCCATTGACAGAAAAAGAAACGTTCATGAAAACAGGCCATAATATGGCCAACTGGAACTCTTGAAGCAAAACCTTTTTTTGCATGCCTTAGAATTTTGGAATCTCAAGTTAGGTGCAGTGGCTGATACCTAGCTATAGTCCTAGCTACTTAAAGACTGAGATCTGAGGATTCTAGTTAAGATCAACCCAGGTAGAAAAGTCTGATATCCTGTGTTTCTAAAAAAAACAGCAAAAAGTTGGATTGGAAGTGTGGCTCAAGTGGTAAAGCACCAGCTGATCAAGAAAGGCTTTGAATTCAAACCCCAATATTGAGAGAGAGAGAGAGAGAGGAGAGAGAGAGAGAGAGAGTAAGAGAGTAAGAGAGAGAGAAAAGAGAAAGAGAATATTAAGGATCCCATGTTGTTAGCACTGTTTGGCCCAGCTGTCTATTTGATGACCATAGCTGGCTTGCAGAAGGCCTTTGTACAAGGCTGTGGTTGTGGCTGCTTTCTGTGACTAGTTCCTGTGTCTGACATGCATGCATCACATTCCTCTTCCATAACATCCCGCTTTTAACCAACAATGTGGTTAGCTAGGCCTTGACCAGAGTGATACCCACAGACTTCTATAGGCCCTGACAAGCCAGTTGGAGCAGTTCTGGCCCAGGGAAGGGAAGCAGATGCTTGGATTTGACTCCTAACAGGAATGGTAGCTGGGATAGGTCAGACCCAGTGTTTCACATGTAGTCTTCACTGGTTATTCTCAAGCCCAGAAGACCATGAGAGGATCTAGGCTTAGCATGGTGGTGCAGGGCAGGGTGGGGGAGGGGAGCAGTCATTTTGACTCCAGACCCTGGACCTTTTTTCTTTATTGTTATCATAAAGGTGATGTACAGAGGGGTTACAGTTATATAAGTCAGGTATGGAGTATATTTCTTTTTGGACAATGTCTCCCCTTCTCTTGTTCTCTCTTGGTTTTCCCTCTTGTCATTTATAACATAGTTCATTTTTAATGTAGTGTCTGGTGAGTGCCACTGCTGAATTTGTTCACCCTTTGTCTCTCCATTTCTGTGCCTGACTTACCCTCTCCAAGACAGACAAATGAACAAACAACACAAAAAGAAAAGAAAAACAGCAACAAAGAAAAAAAAACCCTCTGGTTTCCATTTCCTGGAGTTCATGTCAATAAATGATATGATCAGATGCACATAGGCATTGCGCCTTTGTGCTCCTCTCCTAAGAATATCCTCCTTTGGTTTCATGGCGTGTGAATGCCCAGACTCCTGTATAATGTACCATGTTCCAGTGTATATTAGACCTTGCTTCCACATATGAGAGGAAACACGTGCCATTTGTCTCTTTAGGCTTGGCTTACCAGAGCCTGGACTTTTAGCAGGAGTGTTGTATGCCACTTTGTCTCATCCGGTGTGTTATCACACTAAGAGCATGCGTACAAACACACAGATATGTTTAGATGATAAATTGTTTTATTTAGAAGAGACTCCCCTCTCCCACGAGTGTACTCCCACTGCTGAGCAGATGTCAGACATGGAGGGGAATGGTGGGAGAGGCACATGGCAGCTTAAACCAGGGGTGGTGGGGGAAGAGGCCAGTCAGACCCTTCCCAGGCTTTGGGCTATGATTCTGGGTCGGGGCAGAAGGCCTCCTGGTAACTCTGGGATGGAACAAGAGTGATCTCTGGGTACGTGGCTGGGGTAAGAAGGCAGTTGTTAGAGGAGGCTCTGCATGGAGGGGCTTCTCAGCATCGGGGTGCCTTCCCTCTGCAGAAGCGATTGGGAAAGAACTGGTACTTTATACTGTAGCTTTTCCTGTTCTGAGCAAAACAGTTCGCAGCAGCTTTGTCACATTGGCACAACTGCCTCCTGCAAGAGTCCTGATTTGCTGAAAGTCAAAACAAACAAACACTCACAGTATTTCCTGGCTCCTTGAGAGGAAGAAAGCTCAGCTCTGGCTCTACATGTTTCTACCTCATCAGAGACAAGCACCAGGTTCCAGATTCTTCTGGCTGATTAGATCCATATTCCTGCTTTTGGGTTGCTAGTTCCATGTCACAAAGCCACCAAAATGGGACTGTCAGAGGTCTTCTAGCCACCATGCTTTTGCAATACCCTTTTTTCCTTCCTTCCTTCCTTCCTTCCTTCTTTCCTTCCTTCCTTCCCTTCCCTTCCCTTCCTCTCTTTCCTTCCCTTCCTCTCTTTCTTTCCTTCCTTCTTTCTTTCCTTTCTCTGTCCCTCCCCTTCTCCCTCCCTCCTTCCTTCCTCCTTTCCTCCCTCCCCTTCCTCCCTCTCTTCCTCCCTCCTCCCTCTATCTCTCCTCCTCTCAGTCCAGAGCAGCTGTCAGTCAACATCATGATGGCCTTGGCCAAACAGGTCATTCATCATGTATCATCCCTCTTTTGTGTCCATTTGGCTTCATACAGTCCATTCCTAGAGTTCTGTTGGGTCTTTTTGCTTCCTTTCAGGGCCTTTAGCCATCCAATGAATGAGCAAACACCGCTAACTATCTCAGGGCAGATCATCCTCTGAGCTGCCCATTCATATATCCACTTGTATACTAGCCACTCACTGGACATTCTGGAGGAGCCTGAGCCTATACCTGCTCCAATGAGACCTACTCCCACTCTCTACCAGAACCTCTCCTGTGTTCTTTCCCTCCCTGTACCAACCACACCTCACAGGTCACAGACAGGAACTCATTATCTCCATGTCTCCACAGGGCAGTCACCTTGCTCTGTAGATTCTCCTCCTGCACCTCTGAATTTCACCCCACCCCTTCCATTCAGACACCTTTGTTTATGCCAAGCTGCTGCTCTCTCTCGCCAGCATTGTGGCAGTAACTGCTCTCTTCTATTCTGTCCCTGCCCCACACCAATCTGCCATTCCTTTGTTAGACTGCTCCTATTGCTTTAGGTCAAAATCCAGACACTGGCCAGGAAGACCTGGTTTGATCTGATCCTTCCTTGTCCCCAACCCCAATTCCTCCTCACATCTCCTCTGGGTCTTCAGTCCCCCAGGGTACCTGTTCTTTTCTGGACATGTTCCTGGTCTCCTCTTCCCTGTTTCTACCTTTTTCTTGACCCAGCTTAAATGTCAAGCTCTGCAGGAGGCATCGGGCATTTAGCTACGTTTTGTCTTTTCGTTTACTTCCTATTGGACCTTTTCCCACCTGATTCCTCATTTCCCTGCTTAAAGTTGACATTGACTTCTCAAGTGTGCTGGTGCCGGCACACATCCCTTCATGCTAAACACTCAGAAAAACTTCTAAGGGAAACTCGGTGCTGTCACAGGGCTCTTTCTTACCAGAACAGGTGATCTGGCCCCCTCGGTAGGTAAACTTGTAGCCTAGAAGTTTCGTTCCACATCCACGTTTCTTCAGACGGCTGTAGCAACAGTCGTGGGTGGCACAGCACCTGGTGGAAGGATGTCCGGTTGGCATTGTCTTCTCACCCAGGATAATGGCACATGGAGCCCCGAGATCCATCATCTCCACTACCCTCAACCCTGGGCAGAGCCCCAATGACTCTAGGGTAGTCTAGGGCAGAGTCTGTATCACACAGAACACTTTTCTAGCTGGGATCTGGCAGGTCCCAGGCCTGCTGGGTCCAGAACTGAGTGGAGGAAAAGGAGAGTTGAAGGGAAGGAAGGGGAATAGAACTCACCTGTCTGTTGCGTCTTTGGGGGTCCCTTTGCCACCCCAGCCGCAGTGGCAACCATAGGCTCCATAACTGATGTCAGCTCTCTTTCCTGTCTTGAACAGGATCATCCTCTGGAAATCTACGAGACTCCCGTGGGCCTGCAGGAAGCCTGGAAGCACATTGAGAAATGGCGTGGTCACGGTGCGTCCACTCTGCTGTCCTTTCCCCCTGACTCACTCTGTTATTCTTCCACTCCTTCACCCCCACACACAGGGCTGCTGCAGTGGAGGGAAACTGAGGCATGGGTGCCTACTTCTGAGCTCAGAATGCAAGTCAGCTCTTACCAAAGGCCACGAGCATGGCTAGCAGCAGGAGGGTCTTCATGGTGATGGCTCTGTGGGGGACAAGTATGGAAGAATTGGCCTGGAATCTTCTTTCTCCCCTCTCTTCCCCAGTCATCTTATCTTCTGCCCAGTCCTTGCTCTGTTGCCCAACTAGACAATCCTGAGGCTAACAGACGCGCTTCTGTATCAAGGGTACATCCTGAGGAGCACGTCTGTCACACAGAATGCACACGGGGTGACCTCACTCATCAACTCCTGACCCTTCCAGCTCTGTGGAGCGGCTTTGCATACATGCAGCCCCAGAACCACGGGGACCCCACAGGATGCCCTAATGAGACTTCCTCCTCTCTCCTCATCTGACCGGGAGCTCCTATGAGGCTGGAAGCAGATTCATGCCTGGGAGCATGCCTGGGAGGGTCCTGAGCTCAGAGGGTGTGTCTTCCCACGAAGATACTTCCTTCATCTTGGAACCCACACTAGATTCAGGGCTTGGGGATTTCATCCATGGCTCTCACTCCCCCCGAATTTTCCTCCTGAAGTAAAACTAAGATTCAGGCTTCCCAACCCCATGTGCATGGCCGCTCTCCCCCACATACACGCTCACATGCACACACACACACACACACACACACACACACACACACACACACCCCTAGTTGAAGGCAGCAAAGGGCAGTGATTTCTGGGTTTCTACCTTTCAGAGGATGCTGGCATAAACACTTCCTCCAGTGACTTATTTTTCTTGAACTCGGACTGCCCTTAAATAGCTTCTTCCCCTGAAAGTTTAGAGGTGGGTGAGGCACAGGGTGAGGTATTGCGGGGTGTGGCAGATGATCAAACTCCAAGATTTGCATGCCCAATGCTCCTGCCCCCTCCTCCTTCAGCAGGAAAAAAGAAAAGCATTGAAGATTGGAAAACCTTTCCTGCCATGCATGAATTTACCAGAATCCATTTCGAGTTCCCAGCTCCCCACTGAGGGGATTTCCACAAGGAGTACTGGTGTGGCTGCCAGTCGGTTCCCTCCCTGCAGCCCCTTTCCAGGGTGGACAGGCCCTTCCATTCTCTTTTTTGGGGGGGGAGGGGTCCAGTCGTGGGGCCTGAAGTCTGGGCCTGGGCGCTGTCCCTCAGCTCTTCAGCTCAAGGCTAGCGCTCTACCACTTGAACCACAGCATCACTTCCGGCTTTTTTTCTTTTTGCTTATGTGGTGCTGGGGAATTGAACCCAGAGCCTCTTGCATGCAAGGCAAATGCTCTACCACTGAGCTACCTTCCCAGCCCCCAGACCCTTCTATTCTTGAAGCCAATAGGATGGTTTACTGTGCAAGGAGCGCTCCTTCCTTCTGTTCAATGCAGCACTGGAAAATAAGAAAGAGGACCTTTGGTGTGATTCATTGCACCAGTTATTCATTTGCAGCAACTACAGACTCACGCTAAAGCTCTAGGACCTGTGCAAATAGATCATGGGAGGTGATGCAGATTGTATCCCGAATCCTGCCCTTAGGGACCCCACAGAGGTGAATGGGTAGAATCTCTTTCCACCTAACTGGGCCCAGAGCCTCCATCTTCTCCTCTTTCTCCATCATTCTCTTCCTCTCTCATCCCATTTGAGTCTTCAAAGTCTCACCAAATGCTGCCTCCCCCCCTAGGCTTGGTTCTTGACTGTTTAGAGACAGTCCTCTTAATGCTCCAGGGATCATTAGCGCATTAACGTTTTCAAGGACATGGTGACTTTAGTTCCTAAAGTAAACATCTTTATTTTTTCCCCCTGTTCTCCAATCTGTGTGAAGAACTTGGCTTGTGTGGACCTAAGGAAGCCACCCCCACCACTAGCCTTTAATATATCACTACAAACTAGGCACTGGTGGCTTATGCCTGTAATCCTAGCTGCTCAGGAGGCTGACATCTAAGGATCCTGGTTCAAAGCCTGCCCAGACAGGAAAGTCTGAGACTCTTATCCCCAATTAAACATCAAAAAGCTGGGAGTAGGGGCTGGGAAGGTGGCTCAGTGGTAGAGTGCTTGCCTTGCATGCATGAAGCCCTGGGTTCGATTCCTCAGCACCACATAAACAGAAAAAGCCAGAAGTGGTGCTGTGGCTTAAGTGGTAGAGTGCTACCCTTGAGCTGAAGAGCTGAGGGACAGCACCCACGCCCAGACTTCAGGCCCCACAACCAAAAAAAATGCTGGAAGTGGAGCTATGGTTGAAGTGGTGAAGTACTAGTCTTCAGGGAGAATGTCCAGGCTGTAAGTTCAAGCCCTAGGATTGACATCACACATACTCAAAAAGTATACCACGAGAGTAGAGGCCCATAGTCTTCTCATCTGGGCACCTGGCTTGCTCTCTACCCCTCCCAGGTGTGTTTTCCTGATAGGGCTTCACACAGGAGCATTGGTGGGAAGGGTCCTGTCCCAGCCCAGGCAAGGTCAGACAGAGCGGGCCTCTGACCTTTCTGTGTCCCTCAGGGAGAGCCCTAAGGTAGATGCACACTGAGTCACAGAGTGGAGGGCAGCAGAATGTACTCACCCCACCCCTGCACACATACACACATACACCTCAGGGGACCCAGTATGAGTAAGAAATGAACATCTTGTTTTCCATTAAGCTGTTGAGAGTTGAGATCTGAAATGATTGCAAAATGATGTAGTATATACTAAGAGCAAGCAACTCAGGAATCTTCCCTCTTGAAAATGCAAATTTATTTTTGACAGTTTAAAGAGATCTACTTCTGGGGCTGGGAAGGCGGCTTAATGGTAGAGTGCTTTGGCTAGCATGCATGAAGCCCTGGGTTCGATTCCTCAGTACCCATACACAGAAAAAGCCAAAAGAGGCAAAAAAAGAGATCTACTTCTCTCCCTGGGGTATTGAGGCAGGAACTAAACATGGTTAGAATACTGTGGACTTCTATTAAAGCACTGCTGATGATAATAAACCTTTATTATAAGCAGCTCATATTTATTTATGTATTTGTTGTTTGTTTTGCTGCCAGTACCATGTTTGAACTCAGGACCAGAGCCATCTCCCTTAGCTTTTTCTACTCAAGGCTGATGATCTACTGCATAAGCCACACACATCCCTCCAGTCTCTGCATTTGTCTGCTTAGGCTAGCTTTGAATCACGATCTCATATCTCAGCCTTCTGAATAGCTAGGATTACAGGTATGAGCAATAATCATTCAGCTGTAAGTAGCTCTTTTAATGTTCATTTTTCCTATAAGTAGGCTGAGATGCTGGGGGCTGAGTGATTTGGCCAGCCTGTCTTCCTTCCTCCCTCCTTCCCACCTTCCCTCTCTTCCTTCCATCCTTCCTTCCTTCCATCCTTCCTTCCTTCCTTCCTTCCTCCTTTCCTTCTTTCCTCTCTCTCTCTTTTCTCTTTCTTTTTTTTGTGTGTCAGTCCTGGGTCTTGAACTCAGGGTCCTGGCACTGTCCCTGAGCTTCTTTTGCTCAAGGCTAGCACTCTACTACTGAGCCACAGCGCCACTTCTCTCTCTCTCTCTTTCTTTCTTTCTTTTGTTCTTTCTTTCTTCTTTCTCTCTCTCTTTCTTTCTTCTTTCTCTCTCTCTTTCTTCTTTCTCTCTCTCTTTCTTTTTGCCACTCCTGGGGCTTGAACTCTGGGTCTGGGTGCTGTCCCTGAGCATTTTTGCTCAAGGCTAGAACTATACCACTTGAGCCACACACCACAGTGTTTTTGTGATTAATTGGAAATAAGATTCTCATGGACTTTACTCTCTAGGCTGGTTTTGAACCAGGATCCTCAGATCTTAGCCTCCTGAGTAGCTAGGATTACAGGGATGAGCCACCAGCACCTGGCTCATGATTTGGCTTTCCAAATGAGTGAGTTGAGATCCTTTTCTGGCGCTGAGGCTTCCGGGAGTGAAGGACCAGCCATCCAGGCTGCTCTTTGCCAGCCTCGGCTACTTTGCATACCCCACGGACACCTTGAGGGAGAAACATACCAACTACATCTGTCTGCTGCTGAAACCCACCTCTGGCTGCTGATGGCACTGTCCTGTCAAACAGATTGCACCAGATTTCTTTTGCTGTCACAGCCTTTGGGTGGCTCTAGATGACCTGCAGCCATTTCCACCATGTCTGGAGGGGGCGCTCTTCCCTTAGTGACTCAGTAGAAAGCTTATGATGGGGACAAACCCAGTCCTTCATTTGCACAGGGGGCCACCATGCCACTAGTGGTGTGGTCATCTTCGCCACACCCCCATTACTGGCCTGAGCAGGCTTTTGGCTACTTGTTGAGAGCCTTTTTCTGATGCTCTCTCCTTTTCTGCCCCCTGGTGGTATAACACCAGGCCGGATAAAGGCTTTTCCCCCACCAATGTATTTTATTTGTTTTAAGTCATTTTTAGGTCAGGTTCAGGTAACTGAAGAACCTTTATGAGTAGCTTATATTGTCTAGATCCAAGGTATGCTGCAAATGCAGTGTGAAGTAAAATGGGAAATAACATTTTTCTAAAGACAGGTTTAAAAATCCTGATCCAGTAAGTTAAGATGTTTGCTTTATCTGGTAACAGTGCTGATCCATACCTGGCTGCTAGACCACCATTTACAGGAATAGACAAGATAATAGGGCACAGACTACTCACAACTAAACCAATCAGTCCACCCTGTGTCACGGTACAGGTTTCACAACTCAAATCACCTGTACTCAAAGGTAAACTTACAAAACCTTTGTAAGCCACATTAGCTGTCAAAAATGGCATCACTGCTATTGGTAAGCCAGATGCCACTGGCGCTTTTATAACATGCAAGGCATGTCGAAAAAGACTATTATCTATTAGACCACAGAAAGCAGCGTTAAGTCCAACGTATGTTGATCCATATTCAAGGACATTCTTATCCGCTTCTGGAAGTTGGTTAATTTTTCTGGCTATGATATCAAAAATTAAGTTTTCCTTGAGAGTATCATCTGGTTTAGGATCCATCTTGAACCTCCCAGCAGCCGGCTCCCAGTTTCCTCCTGGGCCGCTCTGGTCTCACTACAACCTTTGTTCCATTTGCCTGGGCGCAGCCATCGTTGGCTGACACGTCAAAAGACTGCTCTTGAGTGGTCTTTTCTGGCCTCTCTGGTCTCTGCCGTTTGTAGAGCAGACCACGCTGGTTACGTGAGCAGAGGATGGGAGGCTGCAGCAGGGGCAGGCTCTGGGTGGCAGCTGTGACAGTGGAGGCCGACTCAGCAGCAGAGCTAGCACCTGTCGGCAGGGGCAGTCATTACCCTGGCCATGGTGATGACAGCGACCAGGGGAAAAAACCAGTGGGGAGCTGGAGTGGCAGCGGGGTTTTGGGAAGGAGAGAGAAGGAAGAGAGATGGAGAGCTAAGGCTGAAGAAAGACAGAAGGCTGGAGAGAAACTGTGGGCCCTGGTTTCTGGAAGAACTCCCAGGGGCTGTAACATGTTGTGACATTAGAGGGCGCTGTCCGCTGCTGCCTGCTTGCCATCTGCAGCCCTGGCTACTGCCAGAAGTGATCGGGGTCATGCATGCGTGCAGGAACACACAGGGGAACGCTGGGTGAAGGGGAAGGCAGAGTCAGGGCAGTACTTCCACAGCAAGTGGCCAGTATTTCCAGCACTACAGTACTGTAGGTAGGGGACAGAGCCCGAGGCACATCCTCCATGTCGGCCCTCAGAAGGAGCCCACGGGAGAGGCTTGGCTGCTGCTGCTGTTCACAGAGCTCTTTTGGTAGACGGACCCGACTTCCTAGAAGAAAGCCAGCAAAGGAACC